TGCTCACCGTATCTCCTGGAGAACCACTTGGAGAATTTGTGGTTCCTGTGCTTATAGATTTATCCTCTGTATGTATAGAGGTCTTGGTGCTCAGAGTGGGGAGCATTTCCAAAAAGGGGCACAAGAAGAGTCCTAATAAAATTACAGCTGCCACCTGGTCATTTTAAGCTCCTGATCCCAGAAGACCAGGAGGCTAGGAAAAGAGTTGTCAACTCTCAGGAGAAATTGACTATGATCATAATGTGGAAATAGGCGCTGGGAAGAATATGTGAAGCACTCATGTGACCATATCTCTTAGCACTTTCATGGTCAATTCTACTGCAAATAGGCAGGTACAGCAAGTACTGTTGATAAAGACATGGCTATCAGGACTTAGATCTCTCAGGGATGAGGGTTTGGGACTCCTCATCAGGACAGCCACCTACATTGCATTCAGTGCTAACCAAGAGTAAGAGATATTTGGAGCCGGTTGTAGACGAAGATAATGATGTGTATTAGTCATGGCCTCATGACCAGCTGCAGCAGTTGAGACTGTATATAGTTTGCATCACTAAATCTCTCTCTGTCAGTTTCTTCAGAAATTTCAGCTCCTCAGAATCCTGGAGAAGCTTTGACCGGGTAAAGTGCACCTAACGTGAGAATATGCTAACATCGAATGGTACAAGGGGTAGATTACAATAGATGCTCTTGGTGCACCCTCCTTCCAACTGAATCCACTTTACAGGGTTGATATAACCATTGTCACCTGCTGCAGATGTTGGCTACTAATGACTGCTAATGGTTCTCAAGGATTACCTTTGACTGATGGAAGCCACTCTACCCAAATAAGTCTGGTTGTTCCATCCCTCTCTTTGAGCAGTTCTTGGCTAATGACTACTTAATGCAGGCTTATAACAGCTCCGCTTCCTTGCCCTCAAATGGGACAACCTTCGGGGTCAAACTACACTCCAAATCTCCCCATGGGATCAAAGTGACTGTATATTGATCTAGAAACCACTTTAAAAAAATTTAGTTTCTTTTCTTCCCCTATCCTGTGTCTCTTATTTTCCTATAGTATTTTTTCCCCCTGAAAACAACAACTCAAAATGTAACGTGCACAAGAATCTCCATCTGAGACTCTGCTTCTGAAAGGTGTGATCTCAGACATAAAGACGGGAATAATAGACACCAGGGACTGCAAAAGGAGGGAAGGAATGGGGGCAAGGGCTGGAAAACTTCCTGTTGGCTACCATGTTCACTATCTGGGTGACAGGATCAACAGAAGCCCAAACCTCAGTATCATGCATCATACCCGCATAACAAGCCTGTACATTTACTCCCTGAATCTAAAATAAAAATTGAAATTAAAATAAGAGACACACACAGAACTTCACAGAGTCTCACTTGAACCCCTGCTGGAGGCTAAAAGGCATGCAAAGCAAAAGACCACTTACACACACAAAAAATACAATTAAAAATTAAATTAAAAAAATAAATAAAAAGTGTGATCTAAGTGGTCTGATTTTCAGGCTGTATCTCTCTGATTCACACTTGCATATCCCTTCTTTACATGTCTACATACATGTCTGATTTAAAACTTATATCTAAAACTGAACTCCTGATACTCTCTGATCTCCAACTCCAACATGCTTCTCTCACTATTTTTTCTGTTTCTGCAACTCCGTTCTTCCAGTTCCTCTGGACAAAACCTTTTCCATTCTATGTACAATCATTCAGCAACTCCATTTAACCTAGAGCTAAAGCATTGGTAGATGACCCGCTTCTGCGTTGTGGTTTCATATGTAGAGAGCTGTTCTATCACTTCAATCTTTTTGAAAGTCAGACCATGACACAAGATTTGAAAAAGTCATGGTGAGTGTTAAGGTTGTTAACTCAACCTTCAAAATGAATCTGTGACTCTACTACTTATCACCACTCCCCACTTGCATTGCTGCTGCTCCGGGGCAAGCCACTCTTAACTCTAGCTTGAATTATTGCAATGGCTTCCTAACTGGTTTTGCAGCTTCTGCTCTTGTTTGCTTTTGGTCTGTTTTCAATACAACAGCCAGCAGGATCCCTGAAAAATATAAATCATATCATGTCACATCTCTTTCATAATTCTGGATTCGCTTTTCATCTTAAAAGCTTCAGTCTTCATAATGAACTAAAGTGCCCTCTATGATCTGTGTCCCTTATCTTGTGTTTCTGAAGTCATGGGTTGCTGTTCTACCTTCCTCTCCACTGAGCTCATCCCTTTGGCTTTCTTGACATTCCTTGAGCTTGTCCAAAACCTTTTCATTTCCTGCACTTGGAATGCTATTCCCATATATTAGCATGGCTCACTCCCTCACTTATTTCAGGAATTGTCACTGCCACTGTATTTAAATTGCAATACCCCATACTACTATTCCCTGTCCTGTTTTTTTTTTCCTCTCCTTAGTGTTACCACTTTCTCTTTTACTTACTTATATTTTTTATGGTTTGCTTTTCTTACTCTAATGTTAGCTTCTCGAAGGCAGGGATTTGTGTCTGTTTTGTTTTTTACTGGCAAATTGTAGGCATTCACTAAATATTTGCTGAACACACTCATACATTATTTTATTATAATTAATTAGACTACTATTGTTATGCAACATATCATCATTTCTATGCTTGTAGAAATAAGTGTGGTTGCTAGAAGCTGAATCATCAGTTGACATTCTCTTATACATTCAGAAACTGGTGATTTTGCCGGTTTACTGATACAACACTGAGCTTCCATATTTTTTTACAGTTGTTGTTAGAGAGGAGTAATTGCTTCCATGTTCAAATACATATGATGGAGGTCTAGGTACACATCACTGCTAAGTGCAAAGGGGATATAAAAATAGGATGTGAACATCCCAGAAATTGACCATGTAGCATACATATACCAGCTAAAAGAATACAAAGCAGTGAAGAGCTAAAGTGACCACTAATGAAGTATCATAGTTCGTATTTGACCCTGGGCCAAAAGAGTTATAAAATGGAAACTAATCAGATACCGTCCATTATCTAGTATTACTTATTTGTAATATTTTGCTGCAAATGTTATACTTTTCAAATACTTGATATTGGGGTTTCTGTTTCTCTTTGATAGCAATCTGTTTGGTTTGACATTTCTTAAAAGTCATGCATGACCTCCTTTTCTGAACTCATGTATGCTTAGGCCCGTACCGCTGGCCACTCTTTTGTGATTCACTCAGGTGAATGGGGGGGGGGTAGTAATCTTGAGATTAAAAAAGTCACAAGAACATGATCTCAGGTAGGAGGAGGGTTGTGAGGGAAACTGGATCTTTGAAGTGAGATCAGAACTGTGAGGCAGAGAGGGAGCTTCTGCTCCTGGGGTTGGCCTCTGTCACAGGCTTGTAATGAATCTGAGTTTCAATGGTTTGGATGGCTAGCCTTGGTGACAGATAAAAGACTTTGAAACCGGGCTTTAGCAGCAGGCGGCTGAATGCATTTGGAACTTTAGTAAGCTGAGCTGACTGATGCACCTTTTAACTATAAATAATACTTGTTCTGGACTATAGTGATGGAAATCGAAGGCTAGGTGGGGATAGGAGACTGTGTGTGGGGACAGCTCTCACTCTGTCGCCAGGCTGGAGTGCAGTGGCACAATCTCGGCTCACTGCAACCTCTGCTTCCCAGGTTCAAGTGATTCTCCTGCCTCAGCTTCCTGAGTAGCTGAGATTACAGGTGCACACCACCATGGCCAGCTAATTTTTGTACTTTTGGTAGAGATGGGGTTTCACCACATTGGCGAGGATGGTCTTTATCTCTTGCCCTCGTGATCCACCTGCCTTGGCCTCCCAAAGTGCTGGGATTACAGGCATGAGCCACCATGTCTGCTCCTATGTCCTCTAATTGTTATACCTTTTACATCACAACTAACTTGCAATAGTGTGTTTGTTTTTGAGACAAGGTCTTACTCTGTTGCCCAGGCTGGAGCATAGTGGTGCAATCGTGGCTTACTGCAGCTTCAAACTCCTGGGCTCAAAGGATCCTCCCACCTTAGCCTCCTTGAGTAGCTGGGACTACAGGCTTGTACCATCATGCCCTACTAATTATTTTTTTATTTTTTGTAGAGATGTAGTTTTGCCATATTGTGCAGGCTGTCTCAAACTCCTGATCTGAGGTGATCTGCCTGTCTCAACCTCCCAAAGTACTGAGATTACAGTCATGATCCACCGTGCCCAACCAAGAGCAATAGTTTTCGAGGACAGGATAGGTTTCTACCTCCAGTGGCACTATAGTTTTCATCAAATAAGAGATTAGGACTTTTAGAATTTGGTGGCTTCTAACTCTGCTAACAAACTCCTTGAAGGGCTATGATTTGGGTCCACACCAAAAGCAGCATCAGTTCAATTCTGTAGGGATCAATTACAAGAAGACTATCATCTTTATTGTTGGAAAGTTTCAAATGAAGAAGAAAAGTAGCTGGTCCAAACTGGACTAGCAACTTGAGAACTGGAAAGCATTTAAAATTTATCTCCTCTGTACTATAATTGAGGAATCTGTAAGAAAGCTGGGGGAAAAGCTACATTTCTCAAGTTAAAGCCAATGACTTATATTTATCTGAGTCTTAACATTCATTTTCCATTATCTGTGTTTGGGAATTTTTATTACATGTATCCTTGTGGTGAGATTTTACTAATCCATTATTTTTTAATTTTAGTTTTGAAAAAAATCACCACCAACCCGTGGTAACTGGACCAGATATTCAAGGATTCCAACAAGTAAGAGTGAAAATGTCTTTGTATGTACAACATACTCTGCAGACATTCCAACAGTCCATGGCTTTAGGTGAGGAGGATCATGAAGAGGAAAATGTGTACATATGTCTTCTCAACATTCCTAAACTAAATGCAAGCTTCACTGTTTCTGTCATAGCATTAAAGTTTTGCCAACTCAGTCTCCTCGAATAACCAAACATTGAAAACATCTGTACCAAAATATGTAGTGACATATCAAGATTATTTTAAAAAGGAAAAGCAGGGGACCACTACAGAATTGGCCGCCGGCGGTATCATGGCGACCCGGAACCCCCCTCCCCAAGAATATGAAAGTGATGACGACTCTTACGAAGTGTTGGATTTAACTGAGTATGCAAGAAGACACCAGTGGTGGAATCGAGTGTTTGGCCACAGTTCGGGACCTATGGTAGAAAAATACTCAGTAGCTACCCAGATTGTAATGGGTGGCGTTACTGGCTGGTGTGCAGGATTTCTCTTCCAGAAAGTTGGAAAACTTGCAGCAACTGCAGTAGGTGGTGGCTTTCTTCTCCTTCAGATTGCTAGTCATAGTGGCTATGTGCAGATTGACTGGAAGAGGGTTGAAAAGGATGTAAACAAAGCAAAAAGACAGATTAAGAAACGAGCGAACAAAGCAGCACCTGAAATCAACAATTTAATTGAAGAAGCAACAGAATTTATCAAGCAGAACATTGTGATATCCAGTGGATTTGTGGGAGGCTTTTTGCTTGGACTTGCATCTTAAGGATATGAATATTCTCCCATAGTGGATTCAACTATGAGAAGAGAAGTGGCAGCAATAAGGTGGTCTCTCAACAGTACATGCTGCCAGAGTCTCTAGGGCAAGGAGAAACAACTAGCTGGACAATACAGAATTCACAACTTAGCATTTTGCCATCTGAGGCTTGGCAAACTAGTATCTGCTGTAAAACAACCTATATGGTATGTGAACCACAGTATTCCTAAGCAACACACGGCTTTCATCACTTTGTAAAAATTTGCATCTGTTTAGAAACTAGCCTATAAAATATCAACATTGGATGTAGATATGTAGAGAAAAGAAATTTGTTGGATTTATTGCCTAGTGGAAATATTATTTTCTTTTTATTTAAATAAAGTGTTCTTCATTGTGTTTTATGAAATATGTCAATAATTTAAAATTTGTATTATAGCTTCAGTATTGTCTGACTTTTTCCTTTTTTCCTTTTTTTTTTTAAGATATGTTTGCAACAAGTTAAAAAAACTGTAATACCCTTTTGTGGAAAGCTTTAGAAATGATATAATTATTAAAGATATTAAACAGACTCTGCTGATGTAATATGAAAAAAAAAAAAGGAAAAAACTAACCTCATTCATTCAACAAATATTTCCTTTGTGCTACTATGTGGGTGATGTAGAGATTGAGGAAAGTCCTTGTCCATTGAGAAAACAATGTGTGTCTCTATAAAACAAAGAGAGAGCTGAGCGCGGTGGCTCATGCCTATAATCACAGCACTTTGGGAGGCTGAGGAGGGTGGATCATGAGGTTAGGAGTTCAAGACCAGCCTGGCCAAGATGGTGAAACCCTGTCTCTACTAAAAATACAAAATTAGCCAGGCGCAGTGGTAGGCACCTGTAATCCCAGCTACTCAGGAGGCTGAGGCAGGAGAATTGCTTGAACCTGGGAGACAGAGGTTGCGCTGAGCCGAGATCACACCACTACACTCCAGCCTGGGCGACAGAGTGAGACTCTGTCTCAAACAAACAAACAAAGAGAAATGTCTGAAATTAAAGCAGTTATTTAAATTACTAAGACCTTATACTGTGTTCAGCAAACATTCTTTGAGCAAATCCTTTTGAAAATCAGAAGATGAATGATCATGAACACTTTGTGAGGAAAAGTCAATGAGGCACAGGTGCTGATGGGTGAAAGAATCATAAACTTTATAAATTCTTAAACATTATTTTTACTAGAGCAGCAAAAGAGAGAAATATTGCACAGTCTTGGCTATAAATAATGTAAAGTCCTTCAGATTGAGGGAGCAGCTCAGTAGTTGCTTGTGAAACATTTTGGAACTACAGAATGACCCAGAGGCAGAGCTACATGCTTTGCTGCAGTTGCGGGTACATACACCCAACAGCATGTCCATGAACCCTGCTCTCCTCTGGAGGGTCCACGTGGCAAAAGTTCTGGCTCTCTCACATCAAGAAGGACCTTAACTTCTGGAGCAATGGCTCATGCCTGTAATCCCAGCACTTTGAGAGGCTGACGTAGGTTGATCTCTTGAGTCCAGGAGTTCCAGACCAGCCTGGACAACATGGCAGAACCCTGCATATACTAAAAGTACAATTAGCCAGGCATGGTGGCATACACCCATGGTCCCAGTTACTCAGGAGGGTGAAGTGGGAGGATCGCTTGAGCCCAGGGAAGTCAAGGCTGCAGTGAGCTGTGATCGCACCACTGCACTCCGGTCTGGGTGATAGAGTGCAGTCCCAGTTCTAAAATTAACAGCATACTCATTTGGGTAAAAAAATAATTAAATTTTGAGATGTTTTCCTCTGCTTTCCTATGCTCTCCATTCACGTTTCGTTGTTGAGTTTAAACTTTGGACTGTAAATTCTGCTTAAGTTCTGCTGTCTTACAGACAATCTGAAAAGTGAACTGGTTTCCCAAGGAGAACTCTGCTCCTGGCCTGTTTGCTCCAGCTTGGTCTAGCCCTATGATTGTTGTCTTTGAGTCCCTCCTTGACTTGCAGTATTGATCTACATTGGTCTGTGCTTGTTTTTGACATCATCATACTTTATGAACTAGCATGGTTTCCATTCCAGTTTCTCCAGACCAGCCCTGTCCTGCAGCAACTGGTAGTAACCCAGCTCTGGGAAGTAAAACTGCAAAAGCCTCAAAGAAACTTCCTTTCTTTTGCCTGCACTTGAAATTTGTAAATGGCTTTCCCGAACTTAGAGAATCCTAAGTCAGAGCCTAGAAATTTGGAATAAGTTAGCCAAGTGCCCTAATTGCAGCTAGATGTCGTTCTAACCGCTAATTCCCAAGATCAAATGAGGATCAAACACTTTCTTGCACCAGCCCTGGCATTCTACTGTAAGCACCCTCCTTTGTCTCACACATTAGCAGAGATTTGGGGAGGGGAGGCTATCAGGGTTGTAATTTTGGCATTTGTCTTGGAAATTAAAAGGCTTCCAAGGCATGAAATTGATGATGAAAAGAACTAAAACAGATGACACAAGGATTCTTAAAGAATGTGTCTTGGAGTTAAGACCTAAGTTTAAGTGTTCATTCTCTTCGACTTCTTATTTTGTGGCTTTGGGAAGTCAACACCCTCACAGGGCCTCAGTTTTTGTATCTGCAGGATGGGAGTGAAGGCTGAATTCCTCAGGTTATGATAGTGGTGGCAAGAAGGTACTGCTGGTACTGGTAGTGGCAGCATGTGTTTGCAGGACAAGGCAGGGTAGACGTGCTGAAAGGTTTAGTTGGATCAATTAGTCAAACACTCAATATTTATATAGACAGTTCTCCAGAAGACACCAGTAATTATGTCTTTAGAAGACTAATATACAACTTTGTGTAATGGTGAAGCCTTAAATATTGTGACCAGTTCTGTCCTGCTCTGCCCGTACTCCAACCAGACATCCTCTAAACAAGATAAATCATTTCTTTTTTTTTTTTTTTTGAGATTAAGTCTTGCTCTGTTGCCTAGGCTGGAGTGCAGTGGCACAATCTCGGCTCACTAAAACCTCTGACTCCTGGATTCAAGTGATTCTCCTGCCTCAGCCTCCTGAGTAGCTGGGATTACAAGCATGTGCCACCACACCCATCTAATTGTTGTATTTTTAGTAGAGACAGGGTGTCACCATGTTGGTCAGGCTGGTCTTGAACTCCTGACCTTGTGATCCACCTGTCTCAGCCTCCCAAAGTGCTGGGATTACAGGTTTGGGCCACCACACCTGGCCTAATCAGTTCTTAATAGCCTCAAATCTAGTCTTGCAGGTTAAGGCTAATGTGCAGATAGTAACTTAGTGTTCCTTAAAAACATCCGTCTTAATCTATTCTTGCTGTTATGACAAAATACCTGAGAACAGGTTACTTATAAACAACAAAAATTATTTTTTTTCATTGTTATGAAGACTGGGAAGTCTAAGATCAAGGCACTGGCAGGTTCAGTGTCTGATGAGGAACTGCTCTATCAATGGCATCATCTCTTGGTGCCATCTTCATCTGGCAGCAGTGACGGAAGAGCAAAAGGCAAAAGACAAAAGGGCAAAAGACATGAGGGCACTCCCTTCAATTTCTTTTGTAAGTACACTAATCTGTTCATGAGGTTCCACCCTCATGAATGGATTGGTGCTCTTATAAAATCCACTCATGACTTAATTACTTCCCCAAAGGCCCAACCTCTTAATATGATCACATTGGAGATTAGGTTTCAATATGTGAATTTTGAGGTACATTTAAACCATAGCAATATCATGAAGCATTTATTAGTTTTAAAACTTAAATATTATTTTTGATAATATGTGATTATTGCAGAAAATATGGAAAACAGACTATTATTAAAAAGTTAAAAATCCTTCACGTTCATTTTACAGAGATAATCACAGTTGGCACTCATTACTCCTTCAGATGTATTTTCTCACCTTGAATTATGCTTGTACAAAAACATACAATGCCAATATATCAACCATAAAAAGATACTTTTACAAAATTAGGATAATAAATTTAGATTCTGTTTTTTTTCATATGTTGTAACTATTTCCTTTATCTATAATGACAGATGCAAGGCCTTTCCAAGTATAAAAAGAGGCTTTGAAATATAAAAATAGATGAAAAAGCATGAACAATATAAAATGATAAATAATAAGCAAAGGAATTCTTCCCATTTCACACAAGGAATCATCATTAGTTTTCACAGATCGCAAACCTCTAGAATACCCAAATATAGGAAAGTATGAAATAGAACAAACAATCATAAACCTTAGGAGTAAAATACTTGACTAAAGTAATTTACTAAGCAGAATTTTATTCTAGGTTCTTTACAGCAATTTTAAATGGGACCAGGATAAAATAGATTTGGTAATGTTGTTTCAGCATTATTCTACCATGGTGATGTTCCCCTCTCCTAGGTCCAGCAGGATAGTCTGGACAGGGATAGGACCTGAACATTTTATTTCTGGCAAAATCTTCATGTCTTTGCTCACTATTTTGCTATCTATGTTGTGAAAACATTTATTAGAAACATTCCATCATTTTCTCTCAAGGCAGAAATCATAGGCCAGTCCTACCCAAGGTTCTCAGTCAATACTATTTTGCATCATAACATTATCTTCCAAGGAGCTTGCTTTCAATAAATTGACTTTTTACATTTACTATTTTAACCACTATGGACAAATGTTATATTATGTAAGACTATCTCAGGTATCATATATGTTGATTCTTAGTCCCTTAGGGGAAATTTATTATTAGTGATTTTATTTTGCATAGTTTTGCATAGTTTCAATGGTTTCTCTCTCTCTCTCTCTCTCTCACACACACACACACACACACACACACACACACACACACACACTGTGGTGGCAGATTACATGATATTGAAATGGCATCATTCGTTTGGGGTGACCCCTGAGGCTCATTGTTTCACAGCCATGGAAAACTACGATGTGGACACAATGAGTGAGGTTCAGAGTAGAAGTTTAATAGGCCAAAGAAAGAGAAGTGCTCCAAAAAATGGGTAGTCAGTTTCGAAGTGAAATGTACCATTTTATAGATGAGCTTGAGAAGGTGGTGCCTGATTTACACAGGGCACAAAAGATTGGTCAGACCAGGTGTGCCATTTGCATAGGGCACAAAAAGCTTGTTAAGGCTGCCTGGCTGGCATCATGTTGTCTATTTCTTTACTGTACATGTGGTAACAAAGAAAAGGGAAGATGGAGCTTCCATGTTGGACGTGCCTGGTCCCCAGACAGCCCTTTTCTGTGGGCACAGTTCCTGGCATTTCCCCATGCAAGCTTCCAGCTTGTTTATCTGTATTTGCAGCTCTATTTTTCAGGTTGCCCTTTGTCAGAAAAAAAATAATTTCTCGAGCTGCTTTTTGTTAAAGAGGAAGCCTTACTGAGGACTCTTTTACCCTCACTATCTGC